CGCTGTTAACCTGCTGAAAGCAAGCTGTGCACAGGCCCATGGAGGAGGAGAGCCACTGTTGCCAGAGATAAAAATAATAACAAAAATAGGTCCCTGTATGTTAAGAGACTTGTGTCAATATCTTTTCATCTAATACAAAAAAACCCAATAAAATTTCTGTGGGAGTACATCTTTGTTTTATGAGCCTTGCACTGGTAAATGAAGTTTGAATTTAAATCTACAGAGCAGGGTTCCTTTCCTTGTGGCTTAAAGGATTTTAACGTAAACTAGTAAAAGCAGTGTTGTAAAAACTGTAAATTAGCTTTGCGATGCTGCAGTCTGGTGGAGCTGTGAAGTGCACCATTTTGGTGACAAAATTGTAAGTCATTTTTAAAATGCAACTATTAGTCTTAAATAACTCACAGCACAGAAATATCTGGGAAAAGTGCTCAGGAAGGTGGAAATACACTACAGCAGGTTCTTTGGTGATGTAAAATCAAACAGGCGACTTCACCATCTCAGACTCGGGACAGCCAGATGGAATCTCAAGTATGTAACATTGCTTTTGGCTTTCTTTTACTTTCTAATTTGTGAAGAGATTTTCAAAATTACTTTTCCAAAGTCATGATTTATAAAATAGAGGAAAGGAATAAATTTTTAATTTCTGGCCTCTAATCCTGCTTCAGATGCTCCTTTACATCTGTGTTTTGGATCAAATCATGTATCTATATATACAGATCTCCAAAAAGTCTTTTAAACATAGATGTTAAAAATGTGCTTCTGGAATTTTAAGATTACTAATAATGTTGAACATATCTATTTATATAGCATTTGCATACGAATTCAAAATTATCATTCTGAAATAATACTGTATTGCAAAGCATACTTACAGCAGGCTTGTGGGGGAGCTGGCAAAGTCAGCTGCTTTCTATGGTGGAAACTAGGAAGCAAACGTTTAACATATTTTACTTGTATTGTTTTGCTGCTTGTTAATGGCAACAAATGGTAACAAATTCATGTTGCTGCCTCATTTATATGGCAGCAGAAGCATTTACCTTAAAAACTTTTAGTTTCTCCGTTTCGAAAACCGGGACTGTGCATAAAAAAGGGAGAACTGGCATAAGCCTCTATAAGTAAAAGTGCTAAGTGCTATTAATATCATCCCACGATGCTAACACAAACCAACGGAAAGAGAGCATCTGCATTATCTGACATATCAGGTAATCAACAGATGCAGTGGGGAGGAAGGGAACAGAAAAAAACCATAGCCTATTTTTCCACTCAAAAGTCTACCTTTAGCTCTTATGGTCCAGTTACTGCCTACCAATATCCATCATTAGCATGGAGAACAAATAATTTAATGATTTTTTTTTTTTTTTAAATGATTGACATCATCTCTGTCACCTCAGTCTTTTTTTTCAGCTACACAGTTTTTCCTCACAAATTTTTTCTGGATGTTCAGGATGTATAAGCTTGAGTAATTTGCATAGTAAAGTCAGTTACTGTATTCTCAGGTGTCCTGCACTCTCTGGCAGGTGTTTCTTGTGGTTTTATGCTATAGCAAGATCTTAATCCTCTGTGATTGATACCGAATGTGGGAAGAGCAAGACATTGAGGAAGTGGAGGAACTGCGGGATTTAGCCTGCGTGCCTGTTGAAAAACAGGTTATTGGTCATCCATCTCCAAAAAGATACAGAACTAGAGATCATACAGAGAATTACAGCAAGAATGCTCAAAGAGGGAGAATAAACCAGGGGTTTTCAGCCTTGACAAGAGAGTGAGCGGAAATGAAATGCGAGAGAAGCCTGTAAAAGAATGCATAATATGGACAAGGTGATTTGGTAACAGTTGCTCAGTGCTCCTTACTACGCAGAACTAGGGGAGCCCAGTGCAATTGCTAGGCAGCACGAGTTACACAAAACGAAAGCTTGGAAGGGAAGGGCTGTTTAAAAGAATGCAAAAGAAGATTGCGGCACTTGTTTCTCCTGGAATATCGTTCATCAAGGCCAAGTGTTTCAGTGGGTTCAAAAGGGATTAATCCATTTGTCGAAGGACAGCATCAGTGATTCTTAGGCACAGTGGTCCAGATGCAACCCCCTGCTGAGGAAGTCCTTTAGTACAGGGCATGTTTCTTGCACTGTTTCCCTAAACTTTCAATCCTGGTCACTATTAGACATACCATACAGGACAAAATGGATTGTCACCTGACATAGTATGGCAGTTCTTACAAGACTCGGGTGTACAGGTAGATAAGCTCACATTAGAAGTGTAGGCTAGAGGTTTGGTTACTGCTTCAAACTCCATTCCAATGGGAGAAAGGTAAATAAGTAGTATTCTGGCATTTCTAGTCCACTTAAGCAATACGGGAGCATCGAATCAGTAATAGGTTAGAAAAAGTCAGAGGTACTGACAAAACTAAGATCAGTACTGAGGAAGCTGCTTCAGCAAAAGTGAAGAAAAACAAGGAAACAAAACTTAAAGGGACACAACAATATTCTATTGAGCAGTGTAAAATTAAAATCTTACCTTAGGCCCAAAACTGAACGGTTTCTCTTCTGGTATTGTAAGAAACTTTGACATTTATTCCTTTTCAGTACCTTAACTCAGACACTAGGCTTCACTGGATTTTGGATCTAACGTGGGTGTTGGTGTACAACCCAGACCCCTTCAGTCGGAAGGCCCGCTCAGAGGTACTTTGGAGAAGCTCCAGTCAGTCTAGACAGCTTCTGGCTTCTCCCTCTCTAGGCTTTACTGCGCGTTCAGTAGGCAGAGCTGGGTGTCGCTGTAAATAGAGGTTTTTCAAAGCTACCCAAGTCTTGGGAGTAAACTCTGTGCGTTTCCTGAGAAAAAGCTTGAAGGTCTGAGCTCCATACAGCAGCTCTTTTTGACCCCATATGCTGTGTGTGTAGTGCACGTATATTTGGAAAACAACAGGAGAAAATACATACAGCTCTTTGGAATGACATGAATACATCACAGCACCTGCAGGGTGCTTAGGTCTTTGTTGTGGTAGCTAACCTAAGCTAGTTTGAAAATTAAAACTGCATTTGAGGAGAAGCTGAGAACAAATTAACTGCTGGAGAGTGACTGTAGCTGGTTTCCCAGACAACAACAGCTCACTAAAACTCCACCGCTTTTCTGTGGAAAAATTTTAATTCATGACATTTTGTCCAATGAAGAACAGGTTTCTGAGGAGGAGGACTGGAAGTCACTAGAAATATAATTCAAACACAGCTAGAGCTATGTGCTGCTGAAAACAGTGACAGCTTGCTGCCAAATAAGCTGGTATTTTTGTCTCAGTCTTAAATATGCTTGCAGCCATTATGATTTCCCATTGCAAACAGGAACTCTCATGTCAGGCTGGATGAAATACTGACGTGCAGAAAATGTTTGGGGAAGTCTAAGTATTTATAAGTCTAAAGACTGTTCCAGCCTGCTGAGCTGGGAAAGCAATGAAATTTGCTTGTACACACTGATCTGAAATTGCAAAGTCTTACACAGAGATGTTCATCATACTTTTCAGAACTGGAATCCCAGGTAAATAGTTTCAGATTATTACAGATGTGCACACTAGGTACCTACCCTTTGGGCTGTCGTGCTGCTCTCGGGCAAATACAGGGGTAAAAAAAATCCAGAATGCTTGTTTTCAATTTCTTGCATTTCCATAAAGCTCCTACAGTCTTGTTTGTATTCCTGTTTTATACTGATTGTGTTCCTGTCACCAAAATAGATAGCCTAGGGCCAGAGCTAATGAGCACCTTGACTAATTTTAAAGAATATATGAGTAAAAATAATCGTTTTATTTGGCTCAGTTACCAGTTCCACTAGGACACTCACTCACAGTGACAGCTCTCTTTTTGGTTCAGTTGAACTAATAAATTATTTTTGTATGAAATAGATAACAAATGAGGAGAATTCTCTAGCTAGATTCTGGTTTTGGTGGTAAATGAAACACATTTACAACTAAACCAAGTGTAACACAGCCAGCTTCATATCTAGTGAAATTTCCAAATTGTACGATAAAATCAAGCCGATTTTTAGGAGTAGCATATGGGGTTTAGTGTTTCAATCTGAAACTAAATCAAAATTAAGCTGTGCTGATTGACTTCACCTTTACTTTTTAGTTTAGCCTCAGAACATGAAGTAATAAAAAATCGTGTAAATTTGCTAAAATAGGGCTGGCAATTTCCTGTGTTTTATTTGGTTATTTAAATCCACCCCCAAAGAAACATTTTTGACTAGATGAAAGTTCGCAGACTGGGAACTTTAGAAAATTTCTCTCACGCATGCACACACACTAATTTCACAGAACAGGGTTTTGTTCTGTCATTTCGGTAATGGAATAGGCAGGAAAGCTCTGCGGCAAATGTACATTCATTAAGTGACTGATTTTTTTAAAATAAATTGTTTGGCATACATGTATCAAATAGTTCTGAGATCTTCTAATTCCTCAAACATCTGAACAGAACAAGGCCAGGTTCTCAATTTTTCTGTAGCAGATACAAAGCGACAACATGATGCTCTCAAATGACATTTCAAACCCACTCTTAAAGTGTGGTAAGTTAGAGATGCAGGACAAAGGGGAGTCAAGGCCCCAAGAAGATAAACCTTTAAACTAGGATTAACCTCTAGTGCCTCTAAATATTCACTATCATATTTTCTGATTTTCACTAGGCATTATATTAGCGTTATGTTTCCTAAATACGTTATGTCATAATATTTACCTTTTATGGCTCTGTATCTCACTCCTTCCTGCCCCAGGAATGATAGATGTGTAGTTTTGTTGACATTAAAACGTGAATTTTACATGAGAGAGGACAGGGAGAAGCTTGTGTTTTCCTTATTAGTGAGATGATTTTTAACAGGGCTGCTTCTGCTCCTCCAACTGAAAACTGCGCTGTGGAAACGAGTGTCTGTTTCCATACACCCAGTGTGCAGAAACCCTTATCTCCTCCCTGCCAAAGAGATTCTCTAGTGTACTAGTCAAAGCTGGCCATCGGTTCTTGAATGGAAAAAAGTGACTAAAGTCCATTTTGTCTGCTGTAGTTGAAGTCAGGCTCTTCAATCTCAGTTTCTGTTATGTCTGAGATTGTGGAGTGTGTCCTTCCTATTTCTTCCAGGGCACAGGCTAGGGAGTCGAGGTCGCCATCGTGTTGATGTCGGGCTTCCCAGAGGTCCAGAATGACGGCAGATGGACTGCTTTGTGTAGCAAAATAGGAGAGATTCCTAAAAGCAGGGGAGAAAAACGTGAAACAAAAAGGATGCGGAACAGTATATACTGAAGCTACCTTGAGTGTGAAAGTGCTCCCTGTTGTGCCTAGCACTACAGATGTGTTTCAAAACCAAAAAACCTTCAGCAAGACCTAGATAAGATGAGTGGAGGGAACCCTCAAGAGCACACACACTGCTGCATCTGTTCTTCAAATGTCACTTGCTCAGTTTAGCAGAGGCAGGATGAGCGAGGGACTTGTACATTCAGAGGTACATAAAAGCTGGCCAGCAGTACCATCCTATATAATTCAGAAAACAAGTCAGTTCTGGAAAGTAAGCTCTAGTAAGCTTAGGAAGCATTTGTCAGGGAGAGGAATTACATAACTTAAACTGATGCTTGTGATTATGTGAAGATATGACGTCTTTTAATTTGTAAATTTATATTTTATTAATTTGTAGGTTTTAGGACTTTGCAGGGGTGATATTTGCAAAGAATTTGGTAAAACAAAATGTTTGTCTTAAACATGTTACGCTCTAATTCCTCCTATCTACGAGCTTTGGACATAAACATCCAAACAAACATATTAACTTCACATTCACAAGGATAAATGTTATTTATAGCATTTGTATTACATATGGACACAGATCTATAAATACAGGAAGAAACAGATAAACCTGTAGCACAGAACAGGAAATGTAAGTATTCCTCTACCCTCTTAGGAACAGATTTATGGCGGTGGTGACAATCAGAAAATATTTCTGTGAGTGAATTGCCTCCACCAATTTAATTTAGCCGAGCAGAAAAAGCAAAATAAGTAGTAAATTAGTTTTTACAGCATCCTTCAGTTTTAATAATCATAATATTATTACTTCTAACAGTAGAGCATTACTTTCTTTTCTAAATATGCCTTTTCCTTAAAAAAAAAAAAATTCTGCAAAATGTGTCATTCCTTTTGGAATACAAAATCCGTAGATAGAAGCCAAGGCAACAGGCCATATGATTTTTTTTGAGAGAACGTGCAACCTCCTCAGTCCTTTAAACCACTGCTTTCATAGTACGCAACAGTGACAAAATCCTTCTACAGTCTTGTACTTGACTGAGACCCCGCTCTTGGGGGTGTTCAAAGCAAAGGTCCAGTGCAGAAGGACGGACTGACCTTAGAGGCAAACCTCAGGTGGGACGGGGCACACAGGTTTATTCCGAGGAGGAAGCAGTTCCTGTTCGCAGCTGCCAGTCGTATAGAAAAGCACGTACGAACTACACCTTATCCTTGAGAATATGTTAATTACCATGCACACATCATACCAGCAAACAAACAAAAAAATCCGTAACAGCAGCAAATTATTCCCATTGTATATGTAAATGTTCACCTTCCAAAACTGCCTTCCATTACCTGTTAATGCTGTTTTTTTGTGCTAACATCTGCCAGTCTTTGCCTTTGGCATTGGGCGTGTCAAACGTCGCGCAGATTCGTTGCCTAATGGAGTAGGGGATCTTGAATGCTTTTGGACCCATCTGCGCAGGGAAGTTGCTGTCATCATGTGCAAAGAAAGTGATGGTTTCTCTTTCATTCTGCACAGAATATAAAAGCAAAGCAGTCGGTCAGGGCACCAGGCTTTCTGTCTGCCTCGGGTCTGTAGGTGCGTTGCTTTAGCACGGAACAGAGCCCCACCATACGCTCCTCCTCAGAGACGGGGGCCGAGACCAGGTTTCTGCACAGGCTCTTCCAAACGAGAAAAGCTGGGAGTGCAGTTCTGAACTCTTTTTGCTGCCATGTCACGCAGGGAGCCTGTCTGCATGTGCCTATTGGTGTATCAAGCCTGCTTTTGGAGGAAGAATCAAACCTGAGCCTGAGACTCCAGCTAGAGTTTGTAGAATTGACAACAGAAAATCAAATAACTAATAGGTATTTTTCTTTTGTGAAGATTTGTGAAGGAACATCTAGAACATCACAAGCACCTGTGTATAAAAACACTTGAAATAGTGTCATTTTCCTTCTACAAATTTCTTATTTTTGTTTATTTTTGTGTTACAGATGAAGACCAGTAGAGCAGTGATTGGTAGATGGAATGCCACAAAAACATATGGGATTCTAAATCTTTAATTGCTTAAGCCTAAAATGTGGACACATAAATCCCTCATTTGTGATTTTTTTTTTAAACACTTACATTCTATAAATACCTCAATTCTTCCATATTAAAAATCTCTTTGAAATCCAGGTCCTTTTGTAGATCTGGCCCATTCTTCTCCTATGATATTATACCAGTCTTGTGTAATGAAGTCACATTTCCATGGATTATTTGTTTCAGTGCAATGCAGCATAAATATTAAATAACAATGATGCTATAGTCTCTTCATATAACATTTATGACACATCCCAAAAGTCATCCATGCAAAGGAACAGCGGTGCTGTAGACAGATCGCATGGTCTGACTGTTTAAATTAAGTATGCAGAACACTAGCAGATTTTCATACCCTGCACATGTGAGATAAGCTACTGCTACAAGGTTAGTTCAGGGAATTGTAAAGCAATGAGCAATTCAAGTATTCAGTTGTTATTTGTATATTTATTTTATAGTCAGATTACCCTCACTCTTCAATCACTTTTTGAGATAGGCATGAGAAAGCCTTCCATACCAGCAAATCCATTTGAAGACAGAATTGTAACATGCTCTGGGGACTTGTGGATGAATAGGTCTCTTTAAAAAAAAAAAGAGAGAGGGGGAAAAAAAACGCGGCAGCAGCACTGTATTGATTTATATAGAGCCTGACAGAAGTTTTTTATGAAATAAAAATGAAGAACCGGAAAAACACTTGGCCATATTCTGAAAATGTTTTTATACATCTTTGTTTAAACAAAGGATGTTTGTGGTTTTCTGATTTAGTTGCTCCATTCTCTGCACAGTGCATTTAGCAACGGGCGTACCTCTTTAACCCAGCAGTATGTATCTGGATTAACCAACAAAGATGCTCAGCAATCTAAAAAAAGCAGCTCAAGTTTTCATTGCTGTAGGACACATCACCAGCCTCTTTGACTACATGTTTGTTCTCTTTCACCTGTGAGCACAGCTATAGTCCTAGCAAGACATTCTGTGCGTACAAAAATGCGCTAAGAAGTGAATAGTGGGTGGCCTAACAGCATACAGGCAATCCATCTATTGTCGACTCTCAGTGCTCTGTAAGCTATTCAGAAACTTTTTGCACAAAAACTGTTACCACCAAACAAAAAACCAAATTATTTTTAGCGTTTTAGAAGCACTGTATTTTGCTTTCTGCTGGAAATGGAACCTGTAAGGCTTTATATACTTGTTACAGGTTTGAACGGGGCATAAGAAACTGCACAGAGATAGAAAGGAGAAAAAAGAGGAAGGATCATGTCCCATACTACAGAGCAACTTAACGAAACAAAAAGGAGAGAACACTTCACCTCTAGAATGGATGTCTGGATCTGTAAGATTTGCTCATGACCCTTGACTTGCCGGACGCAGATCTTGCAGGACAGCTGTGTAGTTGCGGGCGTGTAGCGCTCCAGCGAAAAGGCACAGTGCAGCGGCTTCTGGCTGCTGCACCACACGCGGGAGAAGGGGACTTCCTGCGAGGGGAATGTGTCCGCGGGCACGGGGAAGCAGGCGTGAGAGAGAGAGAGAGAAGTTGTGACAATTGCAAAATAGGATTAAAAAGCCTTTATTTTTCTCTGCAATTGTGTTTTTCTTAACATCCCTGCAAACTCAAAGCAGGACAAAACTAATAAACGATGATTCAATTGATAAATACTAAGATGTTACATTTACTGAAAGCTTAGATTTAATTCAGTGACACAAATGATGAGAGACTCTCATCTAAAATGAAACAAGAAAGATGCACTTCCCTTTGCCGCCTCCTAGGCAGGGATCAGAACTCTAATCCGCGTCTCCTTGCCATCACCTTGTACTACAGAATCCAAAAAAGGGAACTTCCCATCAAGAACTGTACTTCCTCTGTAAGTTAATGCAGCATAGAGGATGACAGCGTATTTTCTGTATTTATGTTCCATCCAAATTTAAAAACACCCACCTGCCTGGGGAGTCACGTGCAGCCCACTGCACATCATTGGTCAGTCTCAGTCTTACTCCTTAGTTTCATCCTCTTACATCCTGTGACTACTTTCAGTGACTCCTCTACTTCAGCCAGGGACAGTTTATGGGATGAATGCCCTCATCAAATGCTATATAGACAATTGCAGCAATTAATCATCAGAGATTTCTGGCATCTCTGGTTGCTTTGAGTTCCTAAAAACGTATGGAAATAGACAGGAGAAGTACATCGGGGGCAGCTAACTTCTGTTACATGATTGCTTTGTAAATACCAAAGTTCTCTTACTGGTCTCCTCTCTTTATGCTTTCAGAAAAAGGGTTTTTTTATTATTTCCAAACTATCATCAGCTATAAACCCGCTATGGTGTTCTACATTGTAGCCGTGAAGGCATGTAAATAGTAAAAACAATGAAACCAAACATGTTCTCTATTAATTTCAAAATATTGGAAAATACTGTAGAATTGGCAACCTGGAGAATAATGTAAAAGGGAGAAAAAGACTGATGTTAATATTTCATTCTATTATATCTTAGCATTCATCCATATGATTATGGGACCGCATTAAACAGCTTCAATGAGCACTTATTCTAAGACAAGAAAACTAGTTTCAAGGTTTTTACATTAGGTTTTTTATGGGAGGATTATGAAATTTCAGATGACTGTCCCTTTTTCATGCACTATTCTTAAATTTTGGAATTTATTTGAATGACGTGAAACTGACCCTCCAAAGATAACAGAATAATTACTATACGCAAAGTTAATCTGGGCATGCATTCTGCTTGCATTTTTCAGAGCTTTCTAAAGGGTTAATAAATTACATAGATAAGGACATAAAATATGCTGCCTATAGGCAGCTATAATTCCTTCAGTATTTAATAATGACAGTTATAACTGAGGGACCTGCCAACTAGCCACTTGCCATAATTAGCTGTTTAAATCAAGTAAACCATGCACTTAAGTCTTATGATGAGTTTATATATGGAAGCTCACCTACGAGCTCACAGCTCAGAAAACATGCATTTCTTCATTCTTGCCTTCCTACAAGCAATTTTTATTGGATTTAGGTTGCAGTCTTTTCTATTTCCCTGAAGAAATTAACTGTGCACTGGTAATCTGAGAATATACAGCTTCAAAGATCAGCCTCATCTTATACTTTAAAGTACAGTCAATACTAAACTTGGGAAAATACTGTCGTACTCGTAGCTGAGATGCAGTTTACTGCTTCTTAAGAGCGTCTCAGCCTATCTGTAATGATGCACTAAGTGCTAATGATGAGCTCTGCCTTTAGATCCTGAGTTGGTAGCAGTAGCAAGGTACTAACAGCGATAAAGAAACATTAGCAAAATATTAGAAGTGGAGCAACTGTAATTAGATTTTTCCAGAGTAATCATCTCTGATTTCATTCAGAGTGGAAGAATCACTCAGCTGAAAAGAATTACATGAAACATAATACAGGGGGGCAAAGCATGGTGGAACGACGAGTGTTTGAAGTATTCCAGAAATGCTTTCAGTTTTATTCTCCCTTATAATTAAGTTCCTAGCAGGCAGAGGGAATGTAAATCATCTCACAGCTACAGACAGACACTGGATCCTCCAGCAGACCCAAGATGCTAGGAAGACAGCTGCTTTTAACCCCCAAACGTGCCTGTCTGGCTTCTTCACATGCTCATCACAGCCTGCTCCTGCTCTGACACCCAGCTGGTTTCTAAGGGTTCCCCTACTGCGCGTCAGCGTGGCGGGAAGGACGCCGAGCACTCAGCAGCTGCGCCGGCATGATGGCCCGGCAAACAAACGCATGCAGCGTAGTCTAGAGAAATTCTGACTGCCACCTGCCATTAACTGCTTTTATGCCGCAGTTTTACATGATGATGTGATCATTTGTTCAAGCCTTAAAGCAAGAGCTTTACTTATCTGAGAAATCATTAACATAAATCCTTCCTCATCATATGGTCTCATAATGGTGTCATTGAGTGGACCAAACAGACAGTTATGGAATAGGCTCTTTTCAGTTGTGCTTCATAACCAGAACAGCCAACTTGTTTTTAAAGTGTGGCACGTAGGGGAGAACACAAGTAAACACTGAAAGAAATTCCACATGAAGAAATAGATTATTTTATATATAAAGGGGCTGGAACCAAATCAGAGCTGTCAACAGAACTGGGACACTTCACAAAACATTTCCCTAAGAGGGAAATACAAAGCTAATGTAAGTTGTTCTGCAGTTTCTGTTAGAAACAATTACTATATTTCTCAGCTGTCCAAGTCATCCAAACTATACTCAATTATAAAATGTAAATATTTCTTTGGCTTCAGTATTGGCACTGTGTCAGACCATTCTGTCAGCAGGGGTTCTGCAGCTGCTGCTTTTTAACCCTGAGAGGCTGCTGAGAGAACGGGTAAGGTGCCTGCTGCCGCAGCCCCCTCAGCAGCTCTGCCCTTCTGTGCCTGCTGTAAAGCGAGCACAGCATGGAAGTGTTCTTCTGTAGGTCATGCCTCCCTCATCTGACTTTTTATTTTTTGTTTTTATCTTGCAGCAATAAATTTAATAGCTACTTTGGACTGTGCCACTTGCATTAGATTGAGCAAAGTGAGGTCCTGGAAATGCGTGAAGATTAACACAGAGAAATTTGCATTGGCTATCATGTCTTGTTTTAACAGCACCCCGCAGTTCAGTTTTGACTGCAAACTCTAGACTATTACTTACCAAGAGAGAACAAAAATACCTGGGTTTGATATACCATAAGCAATATATTTATTCATCGAAGTTGTACACAGCATTAAGAAAAGTGCCGAACCACACACAAAGTATTTTGAGGCCTCTGAGTCGCTCTCAGAACTTTGCGCGCACCAGGGACTCACAGCCAGCACAGGAGGTAATGCCCCAAAGAAACAGCTTTGCAGAAATTATCAGGCAGAAATAATGCTCCCTGAATTCTTAGCTACAAAGAAACATGGAGGCTAGAATGCAAAACCTCTTTCTTTGGTCAGCACAGCAAGTATTGTTTTCTGCAGGCCATTTTTCTACTTTATCATGCTCTTATCACTTCATATTCTTTGGGTTCTTCGGGTCTGCTCCTCTTACGTAGTTGCACTGCCTGTCTGCAGTGGCCTTAGCGAGCAATGCGAGCAGTGATCTCTACCGTGTCCAGCACAGGGGAGTGAAAGCGCTCATCTCTGAACAGTGTTATATTCTAATACTAGAGCTATTTAAACAAGTTGCTTTGCTGCAAGAAAAGTTTAGGGCATTTTTCACCAATGTGGTGGTTTTGAAGCAGTCACCATGGCAACACAAGTTCAATTCAAACTTTCCTGACTTTTTTTGTCTCGTACACTGGACATTTAACCAACACACAGTCTGTGTGATGGGCCTGTCGAAGGTGTTTTGGCTGCCTTCTAAAGCAGTCAGAACAGATCGACATAGGATAATGCTACATGCATTTAGTTCAAACCGATCGAATGGCTGTTAGAAAGCAGTTTCCAGAAAACAGACTTTCTAAATGGTACTTTGAGGTTGAATTTTCATCTATCATACAGATTTATTCTCTGGGATAGGACAAGGGATCAAGAGACAATAAATAAGTTGAAGTATGGAGCTGTGGTTATAATATAGTGTGAGGCAAAATTCCATTTGTTGTATTAAGAGAAATCTCCCATGATTTTCTTTACTGCTCAGGAAGCTACTAGTTTTGATAGGTATTTGGTACAGTAGCAGGGCATCCTAATACTGATCGGTTTGTCTTTTAAAATGCACTTAAGTGAGCAGAATAAACATAACACTTAAAAGCAAGCAGTTTCTTCATATGAAGCTGAAAATGATGCAGTTTCTTTCAGTTCTTAAGTTGTAGCATAAATTATCCTTACATTCTTAATGATCTAAGAATGTATCTGGAAGTAGATCAGGGTCTCTAAATTTCAGAGCCCATTACACTCCTGTTTTGTAGAACATGGCAACACATCTAAATCAATTTTTTTGCCAAAATACTGAATGACAGATAACGGTCTCTCTGTATGCTTCTGGGGAAAGGGAGATTATATAGTCTAATTATAAGTTCTGTATTTTAAAAGACCAGCCCACTCTATGTGCCAGCACATTGCTTATAATTTCCAGTAACCAATATACTTAGCAATTCTTCTTTTGTTTTGATTTTTACTTTCCTGTCTTCAACAGCCTCTTGAATTAATGTAGTACAGAAAAGATAATTTGTGCTTCCTCATTTCTAATTCTTATATATACGTGCTGTACTTTGAACTCATGACATTTAAATGCAAGCATTTAAATGTCATTTTCAGCCATATAGTCATAGTTATATCAAAATCGGAATGACAAAGATATGAAAAACATCTTAATGAGTGATAAATTTTAACAAGAATATAGGCCTTCCATTGGAGGCAACTGGAATGAGGTAAAGTACAAGCCTGCACTTTTGTAAAATGAAAAATGTAAAGCATTCTGTTATATGTGAAATCTGTATTTGTTAAAATCATAAGGCAATGCATTTTTCTTGCATACTCAAGAGATTGAAACCACACCTTTTGAAAGAAAAGGGACCGTTGTCTTATTTGGGTTATGCCCATACCAGTGAAAATTCTCACTTCCTCTGAATTCAGATGTAAACAAATAAAACGGACAAGTACCTGGCACGCAGTAAATGGTTTAATTCTCCAAAGGAATGGAGGGATATCAAGGACAGATATCTGAAGACTGAAGGTATTCCCTCTGAAATGCAGAAGTTTTGGTTCCTCCAGTAATTGTCCTCCTTGGAGTCTTTCATCTGAAACCACTTCCTGCAGTGGTAGAGGAGGAAAGAATATTTTCAGTATTAGGAACAAATACCAAACCTAATGGAAATTGGTCTTTATGGAAGGTGCCTAGTGCACCCACAGCATTCGGGGTACAGCAGTGGAGTAATTCTCTCATGGGCCAGACGATGGGCGCAGGCATTTGTGTTTCACCACTGGATTGAAAGGAAGGTTCGGCATTGTCAGCTCTATTTTCATCTACGTAATGATGGTACTTGTGGCAGTGAATCATCTTGTTGGCTACCTTGGTATCAACACCCATGTAACTTCAGGCTAGGAGCGCAGTCCTTGAGAAGGAAACTTTAAGGGTATTGCAACACAGTAGTGGCTGTCTGCACATTCTGGGGTTTCAAGTCAAAGCCAGTCAGTTTTCTTTTCTTACTGAAAGTTACTCACATTTCATTGCTACTGTTTTATTGCATCCTACAGGATCACGATTACGAAGGAGAAGTTTACCAGCAGTTCATTACCCAGAGCGCTCTCTAACAGCAGCACGAAGCAAGACTGTGTCAGCCCATTTCCAGGTAAAGCTATCTGCCTCCACAGAGGAAAATGGAAACTGGTTAACCTGTTACGTGGTTGTAATTTAGTCCCTCTCCTCTTCTGGAATAACATAACTCCCCTCAGTATTTTCATTAGGCTTTTGAATAAAAAACTCCTACAGGTTGTGTCTAGTATTCCTTAAACTCTTGACATACAAAGCTCAGTGAGATATTTACTTAGAGGACTAAAAGGAATACAGACCACATAAGGCATGCTTGGCGAATAATCTGCTCGGTTACAGATGCAGTCAAGAGCAGTTTTGGCGAGAAAGTACTCCCAGGACTTTAAAGAGCGCTGAAAGAAACCCACCAAGTGTACACATTAGACAAAATGCTTCCGTTTCATTTCTCCTCTCTTGGACATTTTCAGAATTACCGGACAAGACCCTGAGCAATCTTGGAACGGCTGACTTGGAGCAGGAATTTGCACTATAGCCCTCTAGGGGTCTGTTCCAACCTAAATTTTTATATAATTCTGTGAATTTAAAACATAGTAGTAAAAAAATCACCCTTGCCTGTACTTACACAGTGTTTATTCCTATACTGTTACAGTAAAAATACTAGTGAGGAAGGAAAGCTTGCAGAAGTCTTTAAAAAATCAGCTAGGAAGCAGTCTTTCAAAATTACCTTTTTTTATCCACATACATCGTATAAAATCTGTGTGCATCGCACAGGTTTAGTTCTTGTCAGTAGCAAAGGTATTGTTAGAAGAGCTACTGGAATCATTGTGACCTTCTGAAAATGTAATGACTGCTAGAGCTTTCTGAAACTATAATAATGGATTTCTATTATAAACCGATTTACAGGCATTCATTTTGTTTTAACTCCTGATGGCTGGGTTTATATGAAAGAAGGAATAAGAAGAGAGACTTTAGTTCTTGATTTTCAACTGCAAAGGGAGTAGCTGATTTCATAACTATTTTCAAAATTCCCTGAACGTGCTGGAATTTCTTTTTAAATGTACCATAGTCGTATAAATATTGCCCTACATTTAATAATGCATATGGTCCTTAATTCCACAAGCATCAGCAGGTCTGTGGCAAAATACAAAATACAAAGACTTGGTTCTTTTATCTTTTGAGAGCCAAGGGTTTCCCAGCACACTAGGAACTGCCTAAAGGGCCAAGTCATCTGTTGACAATTAGGGCAAGTTTTCACATAAGGACAAAGTGAAAAATGAAGGAACTCTGTATCTCACGTAGAACTGCACTGTAAAGGATTAACAGCATCAAACAAAACTTGGTAAGCCCAACTCTGATACTTATAAAAAAAAAAATCTGTATTTTCCCTGTTTACCACTTAATATTTACACTAGCATGAAGTTGATGCAGCACGCTTTTAAGGGAAGTATAATTTCATAGATACACAGTTGTCTTATTATGTACAAACACCCTGTTCTAATTTCTGTGAATATGGAAAACTGGTAATTATGCTTCTAACAATTTTCTACAGAAAACAAGTAACTTTGAAATCTTACTTATTTTAATGTGCATGAAGTAAAAAATAAGCCAGTCTCCTTCGTTGTTTTGCTGAATGTCACAATAATTTGAGAAACAAGATGGTACAGTCAAATCAGGCTGCTATGGGTGAGAGCTTTTGTGGGGTTTTTTAATTTGATATACTGAAGGTAAAATTCAGCATGAATGAATCGCTGAAAGAGACTGCACCATGCTGTATGAAGCAGTGTGACAAAAACAAATGGGTGCTCTGAATAAGATTAATCTCATTTCCCTCTTGTGGGCCTCTGTCATAGTTTTATTGTACAATTTTGTGGGAGCTTTTTTTGTCTATATTTAAAAGTTCAAAAGGTATCTGTACATTTTTTATAAACCTGCTGCACAATACTAAATGCAGGCAGGGCATAACTGATGCAGACTCGCTAAAGGCATCAGACAATACAGGTTTATATGAACTGAATGTATGACTCAAGGCTACTCCTGTGCGTTCACAAATGCTGAAGAAGGAATTTGGGCCTCTGAATTTCAGGCAGACTCATCCAGGAAAATACTGGTAACCCACGAGTTGTGTAAGTACTATAAAGGGTATAATTACAAAGCTATCGTAAGTCTTTAACAATCCTTTCAGTGGCTTTGCTTTTATTAGAAGCCCATAGACATTAATGTGTGCTTCATTAAGATTCATGTTTCTATTCTGTACGATAGGAAAAGGAAGCAAAAATTCATCTGTCACAACTATCTTCATTTCAGTTCCCAAGAGAAAACCATTTTGTTAAAGCTTCTGAGTTTACTAAGGCTGCAAAAGCAGTGAATTTCATTGTTTTGTCCTGGAGTACCATGTAGAAAAATCATGCTAATTTTAATTGCCACTTGGGGATTGTTTTGTGGTTTTCTTTTTTTTTAAAAGGGGAAATGCACGATTATAATTTAATTTTTGTTTAAAAAGATGGTGAGGCAATCTCTTTCTTCTTGCTCAAATTGTAAAAAGGAGAGGAAGTCCTGAACTGGCTAATGACAGCGTAAGGGTAATGAGCTTGATAAATACTATACATCAAATGATAACGACTTACATTTTCTGCTTGTAGTGGAGCAGCACTCGGCTCCAGATGCAAGCAAGCTCTGCCTGTGCCCATGCAGTAGCCAAGGCACAGAGCCCAGCCTAACACTCTTTGCTTATCAGCTGTAGCTTTGTGCTGTGTTAACCGTGGCTACGTGGTTTTTGGTTAGTCTAGAATGTGGGCAGAGGGAGTTTCCATCTGCCAGGCAAAAAAAGAAAAGACAGCTTGGCTGTCCCAGAGCTTTTCCAGTGTAAATCCACAACTGAAACAACAGTGGAGAGAGATTAAGGGACATAGAAAAGTCATGCAGCAGCGGCATTAAAAAAAAATACAGTATTCACAATCGCTGGAGTTCTGGACTATTGCTGTTGCCCCACGACTATCCTCAGGAAGAAGGGAATGTTAGTATTCTATGTAAAAATAACTAAAACCAGATTAACGAAGTGAAACCATTTACCTGAAATGCACAAGGTGTGTTATCCATACAATATACTCTCAGATTGTAATCCAGAGAATTGCAAGACAGGCAGCCAAAAACCGCTACTTTCAGCTGTCGAACGGCACAGTCAGAGATCGGTTCTCCAATAAGAGCATAAGTTCCAAAGCTGTTTAAGAGAATGTGACAGGCATAAGGATCCAACAGGCAGTAGCAAGAAGTAGTTTCCTCTTCCACAGACATCACTTCCTGCAAAATGAAATTCAGGACAATAGGAGTCATGACATTACTTGTTCATTTTTATTCAACTGGAATGTAAAGTATTTCTGAGAGCGCCAGTCTGTACACTCCTCACTCGTGCTGACCTCAGGGAAGGGGAGAAGGTAGACTACCTCTATGAGTAAATACTCCCAACTGAGCCCTGAGTCAGCAGCAGGAGTTATGGCAATATACTGTGCAGAATTCAGTGTGTACAGCATATAATAATGATGATGATGCGTAAGCAATTTTAGCATCCTTTTTTCAAGTGCTCCTGACTTTCTAGCTAATTTTTTTCCCAATGTCAAGTTAAGAAATTACCTTGAAGATTAAAGTCAATAAGCAAACCTTGAACAATAGTCGGTATTTGACTTCCTTTCAGAACATCCATTACAGTTATGTTTACCTTCATCAAAAAACTACCTATCCCACTCTTTTGCCTTTCATGCTTAGTTCTGCATTACGGCACCATTAGATGAGGTATCTGAGCAGTCTACAGTCTGGTATTACACTCCTTGTTAACTCCAGGGTGTTTGTAACCAACACCGATGGAGCTGACTGAGTAATGAGTGCATCTAAAGGAGGAAAACTAAGCTGAACTTGAAATGGCTTAAACGAGAGCAACAAACAACATAGTGGCTTAGAGGAGGAAAGGATACAGTCAGTTATGGTATGCATGAATGTTTTAACTACTGTTTTTTACCCCTCACAATGCAATGAACCAAACAGCTCCATCAGCAGCAGTGCAATAAAATCCGATTGACTGTGGATTTGTGTCTAGTTACCGGCTTCTGTGGTTCTATTTAACCTGTACAGTGAAAACTTTAGTTGGGAAGTTCAGCACCTTTCTATCCTGCGTGGGTTTCCGTAATGTTGAACAACAGCTCAGTTCGTACTTTAGCCATCCCTTCAGGAGCATTGCTAGTCGGCTGTCTCCCCAGATGATGCAGAAAGTTTAACACGTTTTAGACTGCTGCCTACCAGGCAGTTTCAGTTGAAGATGGCCAGTGGGCTTAAAAAATGCAGGTGGACAGACACAAATCATCAAATGCCCATGTCACGAATGCACAAAGCTTGACTTCCCCAATAAACCAGGATTAGAAAATACATGTTCAACTATATTTCACTTAATGTACACTAGTCCTTCAGAGGTTATGAGCACAGAGTTAAAATGACATGTACAAAAAGACAAGATTTTTAAATCAGGAGGAGCCTTCTAGGTTAAAAAAAAAAAAATCAAAGTTGAATTGTATATTTTTAACCAATTCCATAACTAACTTTATGTCCTGATAAATTCTTGCATGGGTATCATGATCTGTTGTGACATGAGTCTCCGAGAGCTATGATCTATCAAAAATAGTTTTAGTTTTTAAAAATAAATGGCTACTGGTTCTTTTATTAAGTTCTCTGAGAAAATGAATACTTGCTCGTGTCACATGGGCTAGGTCATAAAGTTGACCTTTCTTGCATATCTTGGCAAAACAGTTGGAAATAGTTTAGCTGCTTCTTAACAAAACACAAAATCTTTTTTTTTTTAATATTGTTTCTTTAAGATGACTGTTTCTATCACTTACATAATCTTTGACCTGCACCTGCATGAATGAGAGTAATCATGTTTCCATCGTTAGTACAGCCCTTTAAGCGTGAGTGGAAGTCTAAACTTACCTCCCATTTTCCTTGCTGTGTCCTTTTTTTCAAGTGAATGTTCCAGTGCTCTGAATTTACTTCTGCGCAGTGTGGTATCGTCAAGGCAAAGGGAGTGCTGACAGACAGATCTGAGGGCCCACAGGTTACTTCTGGTCCTAGAAGAACATCTGTGCCTTCTGGCTGGAGGCTTCGTGGGGGGGTGGAGACAATAACATCTGTCAGGCTCTTTTTAATAAGGAGTGAAAACTCACTTTAACTGCTATTTTAAAAATATTTTAGTTAAAATCTAAGTACTGTGCTCATCTGTTACAGAAAAGGATAAGCAAGCCAATTACTGTGCTAGTTTTCATGTAAAAGCAGTAGCTGCAGGTGAAACAGAACTTTAAGGCCACATCTACTCAAATCGTTGGCTGGTCAGGTCAGGAATCTGGTCTTTAAAATACATTTCCATTTGCTTAAACCAAATACAACACGACATTTACTCTATGCAAGTAAGCCTTACTTTATGCACCAGCTGGTAGTATTACCATCTAATTCTGCTTTCAAAGACTGTCATCAACAATATTTTCACAGTAATGAAGATAAAACAAATTATGGTTTAAAAACAGTCTCGTAAGTTTTTCCAGATTGAGTGTGATCTCCCTGGTTTGAAAACACATTTCTGTTCTGCGGAATGAACAGGCTAGGTAACTCAGAGCAGACATCGGGGACACAACTACTTTGCTTAGCGGGCTCCATGACACTCAGCGGAGATCCCATCAGCACAACTGACATCTAGGGATTCATCTCATCTGAGTGTAATCACCTGTGTTTGGTTAGATTAACTGCTGGCTGAGTTATAAAGATGAAGTATCTGACAAGAACCATCTTCTCGTTCATTCAAACCTAAATTTAACCCTGTCCCAGATACATGTGCTTTCCTTACCTCTTGCAATAAACACCTGCGCAGAGCCAGGGACAGTGGGTGAGACTCACTTCTTGGACATTAAAGCTACCAACTGAAACATCTTGTTCTGTTGAGGGTTGGGTATTTTTTTTTAACACTGTAATCCTTAATCTGTGTTGTATGATCCCAATTTTTGGCTTCTAAATTAGTGGACATGTAGTTCACACTTAAAATCAAAGCAAATGGTGTTTCCAAGATAAAAATAAGGGGAAGAATGTCAACCAAGACATAAGTAAGATGATATAGTAATAAAACAAATATATAAATAAGGCGAAAATCCCTGCTTAAAAATTAGGATATACTTCTGCTGCCACGTGGCAAGCTAACAGCAGCATTGCTCCTAGAGCTCTGCAATAGGCGCATGGCAGCCACCAAACCATCCCATAGTGCCTGTGCTGAGCCCAGGGCTTCACGGCTAAACTGTTCCATTCTAACTTACCCAGCCGACCTGCATAATACATTTCAGTGAATGTAGCTCTCATGTGGGCACGCTTACGTGTAGCCCTGCACTTCAATCGATCAGATTCCAATCCTGCAAATTGACTTTGCCCATCCGTCTAACATCACCGGGGGTAGCAGTCTCCCTATAACTGTAATAGTAAGTGCTTTGAGAATGCAGTTAAAAATACCATCCTTGCTAAAGACCTGAAAAGTCCCAACAACTTCAGTGACATCCCTTGCTAAAGATTACATGTACAAGTGTTTCTGAAAGATGAAGACTGGAGTGAAACAACCCCCCCCCCCCCCCCCCCCAACATGCTAACAAAAAAGGCCAGTAATGATTTTGTTTTTTCCCAAGTGTCATAATAATAAATGCTCCCTAAGCCTCAGTGCTTCTAAGTGTTTGTAGGATTCTTGGGCTAACAAAAAAAAAATATCAAAGCACAAACTCAGCCTCTACGACAGCTGCCATGTTCCTCTGGAGCAGCAAGCGTGTGAGGCTGTAGAGCAGAGAGCACAGAGCAGACAGTGCTTGCCGGCCGTGCTGCAGGAAGGCGGCTCGGCCACGGCAGGTGTCTCGCTGCCTTCAGAGACAGGCCAGATTTGCTGGCCTGATACCAGAATGACTAGGCAAACAGTTCAAGCAGAATTCTCCTTGCTTCTGCGTATACCTATGAATAACAAACAATTTTTCGCAACTTCTGCATTGCTAGGAAAACACTGTTTTTACTCAAAATACCATCACTTAACACCAACCACTGCTGCCCTTTACAAACGGTATTTGATTTCCTTAAAACATAAAACCTTCCAGCAGTTACCCCAAATCACCTCTCTCTCCAACTAATTTAAGAAATAATCCAGTTACAAAGAAAAATAAATCATCTAGTTACTTACAAAGAAAAATATTTCAGACTTATTAGAAACCCTCAAGCCAACTCTTCTACATATTTATTTTTCAGTAAGGTATTCAGCTCATACGCTTGCTCTCTGCTGCACCTCGGCAAAGGCCGGTGCGTTCCACTTCCTTATCTCTGTTTTGATGCAGCTGCAGGAAGGGGGTAACAAAAGCCCGTTTCCAGAGAGCAAGCCAAACCGCAGTTATTTAACTTGGTTGGTGCATTTCTATCCTATCTCTCTCCCAACACGCACATCCTGACAAATGCATAAAACATGGGGAGGGTGGGGAGCTTGTGGTGGTGGAATTTTGCTAAAGGTACCTCCAGTACAAAGCCGGACAATTCAGCTTCAATAATGGCAGCAAAATATAGATTATTTTGTTTTCAGCACAGCACCCTTAGGCGGCATGAATCCAGAGTTTTAGTTATGCTGCTGGTGATGATGCCCATCAGAAACAGCTCCAATTTTTCAAACATCAAGAGTAAAACAAACCACAAATATACAATACAAAACCAAATAACGTTAAGTAGTGGTAGGAGAATCCTGGTAGCAGCCTAGCAAAGCTGATGTGAAAGACAACTGGGAGATATCTACCAAGTGCCCTCCCAGCCACCTGATTAAAAAAAAAAACCAAACCAAGAAAGCGCCAGCATCACTGCAATAGCGTAGGCTCTGGTCAGAGCCCCTGGCAGGTTTGCCGGGTCGCTCTGCGTGACTGCCGGCCGCAGGCATCACGGAGAGGGCACTGGCAGGGGTGGGTGAATGACCAACAACGAGCTAGTCAGAAAGGAGCTATTTAATTGCTTTTAGAGAATCATTCCCCTTGTAGAACATATTGGACAAACATATGGGAGTTCTGGGAATTATTTAATGCCAAATGAACTGAAATCAGTTAATTATATGAACTCTCACACTTGTTGCAAGGAGCAGGAGTCTTCTGTGTAATCACTGACATGGTATTAAGACTCTCTGCAGTTCTGAGCTGTTTATTAGGCAAGGCGGCAAAGGGAAACATTACCAAATGTATTTAATATTCCCATTGTTGCAAGGTAAAACAAATCAGTAGCCAGTTCTGTCCCCTCAAATCCATCAAAATCAAAGATCTGTAAGTTTTCCAGTGAAAGAAAGACAAATAGGCACTACTGCTGAGCAAAAATTAAAAAAATGTTCTTGCTAAAACTACTACACTGGAAAGAAACATCAGGAATTTCACCCCACAATATTCTGCCCTCTACAAAGCACTAGCAAAGAAGCTCCTTGCATTCCGAGTTTCATTTTCAGTTTAGAAATTGCTGCTAGAGGGACATTTGCAGCTGAAGCCCGAAGGCAGAGATAACTTTCCGGGGAGGTTCTAGTCCCTGCGGGAGAGGTCTGGTGCCCCTCAAAGCCAAGGCAGCTGGCTGCGCGTCTGTCAGCCCACCTAGAGCGCCAGCAAGGCCCGCTGCAACGGCCAGACGGTCGTGTCACCTGTTGCTGTGCAGAGGCCCTGAGCTGCAGGTCTGGTGGCACCACGGTGTGCATCCCATCCCAGAGCGCCGCGCTTTTAAAATTCCGTGTTGGAATACTGTGAAGGTTAACTGGAGAAGCAAGGGAGTGAAGAGGAAACAATGCTGAGTGTCCATTTTTTCCTGGACTCAATGAATTTCAGAGAAGAATTTAATATTTGCCTTTCTAATATTTACTTGCCCAGTGGCATCTCCAACAGAGAACCTCACAGCACAACAGGCTCCTAAATGAAGCGTGGTACCTGGGAGATGAAGACTGTCTGGTAATGAACACATCTGTGCCTTGAGTCTGGATCTCCCACTGCAGTTCACGCCTTGGACAGCAAAAGCATTTGCTTTTAGACTGCTACAGACGCTGAAACACTCTTTGCACCGACACTCATACAAATAAACATGATGGAAAAACAGGAAAATAAATTCATGGTTTAAAAAAATCAATTTAAAAAAGGAACATCATGATATTTAAACTATACACCCACCAAGGCTGCATTTTACAGCTGAAATGGATTCTATTGCTGTGGGTTGCTTTGGCGAGATGAGAAAATTCTGCCTTTGGAAAATAGAGGTACATTATTTCTCACATTCATACACCACATTGCATGTAAATGCATACGTTTGTAAAGCTTTGATTTTTCAAATTGTATAATTACAAAATATGTTTAAGTCTGGGCCAGACTGTCTGGTGTCATTCTGCGTATGCGAACTCCAGTGTGTGAATACTGGGTGTAGGTGTTGGACACTCAAAGTTAAGTGCACATCAGAAATACATTCCGTTTTACACATTGTGCATCTAGATGTGTTCAGTTACCACTGACCCTTCACATTTCTGCGAAATTCCTACAAAACAAAAAGACAAACAGAACTGGGGGAGTAATCACGTGAGACCTGGTCTTCCCAGTCCTCTCAAGTTTTCTTTTCTCCTATTTTTGCACTCTCTAATCTTCCCACTCTTATTTTGACTGTGTGGTTGGAATTTCTGAAAACCAGTATTTTACAGTATTTTCATAATCATTGATCTCAGTTATGCTTTTTCCTGATATTTAGAATATAGAGGCATATTCATAATTTACAAAGTTTAGTCAATCTAAACTCAGAAGATGATTTTGTGTGATACTTACCAAACATACTAAGATACTTGCACAACTCCCAACTTTATGTTTGATGGAAGAACGCAGTGTGAGGGTTTCTGTGTATTTGGGGACCCAAATCTTTACAGTTTATACTGGCATATGTAAAGAAAAATAATGTGTTTATACTGTAGGTGACTAAATGGTCATCTTAGTTAAGAATCACTTTGGCTAGTCTCATCTTGTCTCGTATTGCAGTCAGTATGGTGCTGGAATCACAGTACTCAAATGACCGTGTGTAGAGTGTAGTGTAGGAGAAAAAGGTTGTGAG